GGAAATATTGACCTATGTCTATATAGGATATTTGAGGGCAACACTTTGACATGAATTTCGACCAAAAATAATGTTGCCAGATTTGGATGCAGAATTGATCTAGAGGCCAAACCATGAACAAAAAGCCAAACCTTTTGAAAATCGGTTGAGTTTTGACCGAGTTATGGGAGTGGGAAGTTTTGACCTATGTCTATATAGGATATTTGAGGGTATAATTTTGACATGAATTTTGACCAAAACTAATGTTGCCAGATTTGGATGCAGAATTGATCAAGAGGCCAAACCATGAACAAAAAGCCAAACCTTTTGAAAATCGGTTGAGTTTTGCCTGAGTTATGGGGGTGGGAAATATTGACCTATGTCTATATAGGATATTTGAGGGCATCATTTTGACATGAATTTTGACCAAAACTAATGTTGCCAGATTTGGATGCAGAATTGATCTAGAGGCCAAACCGTGAACAAAAAGCCAAACCTTTTGAAAATCGGTTGAGTTTTGACCGAGTTATGGGGGTGGGAAGTTTTGACTTATGTCTATATAAGATATTTGAGGGTATAATTTTGACATGCATTTTGACCAAAAATAATGTTGCCAGATTTGGATGCAGAATTGATTTAGAGGCCAAACCGTGAACAAAAAGCCAAACCTTTTGAAAATCGGTTGAGTTTTGACCGAGTTATGGGGTGGGAAGTTTTGACCTATGTCTATATAGGATATTTGAGGGTATAATTTTGACATGAATTTTGACCAAAACTAATGTTGCCAGATTTGGATGCAGAATTGATCAAGAGGCCAAACCATGAACAAAAAGCCAAACCTTTTGAAAATCGGTTGAGTTTTGCCCGAGTTATGGGGGTGGGAAATATTGACCTACGTCTATATAGGATATTTGAGGGCAACATTTTGACATGAATTTCGACCAAAAATAATGTTGCCAGATTTGGATGCAGAATTGATCTAGAGGCCAAACCATGAACAAAAAGCCAAAAGCCAAAAGCCAAACCGTTTGAAAATCGGTTGAGTTTTGACAGAGTTATGGGGTGGGAAATATTGACCTATGTCTATATAGGATATTTGACATGAATTTTGACATGAATTTTGACCAAAAAGAATGTTGCCAGATTTGGATGCAGAATTGATCTAAAGGCCAAACCATGAACAAAAAGCCAAACCTTTTGAAAATCGGTTGAGTTTTGACCGAGTTATGGGGGTGGGAAGTTTTGACCTATGTCTATATAGGATATTTGAGGGTATAATTTTGACATGAATTTTGACCAAAACCAATGTTGGCAGATTTGGATGCAGAATTGATCAAGAGGCCATGCCATGAACAAAAAGCCAAACCGTTTGAAAATCGGTTGAGTTTTGACCGAGTTATGGGGGTGGGAAATATTGACCTATGTCTATATAGGATATTTGAGGGCATCATTTTGACATGAATTTTGACCAAAACTAATGTTGCCAGATTTGGATGCAGAATTGATCTAGAGGCCAATCCGTGAACAAAACGCCAAACCTTTTGAAAATCGGTTGAGTTTTGACCGAGTTATGGGGGTGGGAAGTTTTGACCTATGTCTATATAGGATATTTAAGGGTATAATTTTGACATGAATTTTGACCAAAACTAATGTTGGCAGATTTGGATGCAGAATTGATCAAGAGGCCAAACCATGAACAAAAAGCCAAACCTTTTGAAAATCGGTTGAGTTTTGACCGAGTTATGGGGTGGGAAATATTGACCTATGTCTATATAGGATATTTGAGGGCATCATTTTGACATGAATTTTGCGCGAATTTTGACCAAAACTAATGTTGCCAGATTTGGATGCAGAATTGATCTAGAGGCCAATCTGTGAACAAAACGCCAAACCTTTTGAAAGTCGGTTAAGTTTTGACCGAGTTATGGGGGTGGGAAATATTGACTATATCTATATAAGATATTTGAGGGCATAATTTTGACATGAATTTTGACCAAAAATAATGTTGCCAGATTTGGATGCAGAATTGATCTAAAGGCCAAACCATGAACAAAAAGCCAAACCTTTTGAAAATCGGTTGAGTTTTGCCTGAGTTATGGGGGTGGGAAATATTGACCTATGTCTATATAGGATATTTGAGGGCATCATTTTGACATGAATTTTGACCAAAACTAATGTTGCCAGATTTGGATGCAGAATTGATCTAGAGGCCAAACCGTGAACAAAAAGCCAAACCTTTTGAAAATCGGTTGAGTTTTGACCGAGTTATGGGGGTGGGAAGTTTTGACCTATGTCTATATAAGATATTTGAGGGTATAATTTTGACATGCATTTTGACCAAAAATAATGTTGCCAGATTTGGATGCAGAATTGATCTAGAGGCCAAACCGTGAACAAAAAGCCAAACCTTTTGAAAATCGGTTGAGTTTTGCCCGAGTTATGGGGGTGGGAAATATTGACCTACGTCTATATAGGATATTTGAGGGCAACATTTTGACATGAATTTCGACCAAAAATAATGTTGCCAGATTTGGATGCAGAATTGATCTAGAGGCCAAACCATGAACAAAAAGCCAAAAGCCAAACCGTTTGAAAATCGGTTGAGTTTTGACCGAGTTATGGGGTGGGAAATATTGACCTATGTCTATATAGGATATTTGACATGAATTTTGACATGAATTTTGACCAAAAAGAATGTTGCCAGATTTGGATGCAGAATTGATCTAAAGGCCAAACCATGAACAAAAAGCCAAACCTTTTGAAAATCGGTTTAGTTTTGACCGAGTTATGGGGGTGGGAAGTTTTGACCTATGTCTATATAGGATATTTGAGGGTATAATTTTGACATGAATTTTGACCAAAACCAATGTTGGCAGATTTGGATGCAGAATTGATCAAGAGGCCAAACCATGAACAAAAAGCCAAACCGTTTGAAAATCGGTTGAGTTTTGACCGAGTTATGGGGGTGGGAAATATTGACCTATGTCTATATAGGATATTTGAGGGCAACATTTTGACATGAATTTCGACCAAAAATAATGTTGCCAGATTTGGATGCAGAATTGATTTAGAGGCCAAACCATGAACAAAAAGCCAAACCGTTTGAAAATCGGTTGAGTTTTGACCGAGTTATGGGGTGGGAAATATTGACCTATGTCTATATAGGATATTTGAGGGCATCATTTTGACATGAATTTTGACCAAAACTAATGTTGCCAGATTTGGATGCAGAATTGATCTAGAGGCCAAACCATGAACAAAAAGCCAAACCTTTTGAAAATCGGTGTAGTTTTGACCGAGTTATGGGGGTGGGAAATATTGACTATGTCTATATAAGATATTTGAGGGTATAATTTTGACATGAATTTTGACCAAAACTAATGTTGCCAGATTTGGATGCAGAATTGATCTAGAGGCCAAACCATGAACAAACAGCCAAACCTTTTGAAAATCGGTTGAGTTTTGACCGAGTTATGGGGGTGGGAAGTTTTGACCTATGTCTATATAGGATATTTGAGGGTATAATTTTGACATGAATTTTGACCAAAACTAATGTTGGCAGATTTGGATGCAGAATTGATCAAGAGGCCAAACCATGAACAAAAAGCCAAACCTTTTGAAAATCGGTTGAGTTTTGACCGAGTTATGGGGTGGGAAATATTGACCTATGTCTATATAGGATATTTGAGGGCATCATTTTGACATGAATTTTGACATGAATTTTGACCAAAACTAATGTTGCCAGGTTTGGATGCAGAATTGATCTAGAGGCCAATCTGTGAACAAAACGCCAAACCTTTTGAAAGTCGGTTGAGTTTTGCCCGAGTTATGGGGGTGGGAAATATTGACTATATCTATATAAGATATTTGAGGGCATAATTTTGACATGAATTTTGACCAAAAATAATGTTGCCAGATTTGGATGCAGAATTGATCTAAAGGCCAAACCATGAACAAAAAGCCAAACCTTTTGAAAATCGGTTGAGTTTTGACCGAGTTATGGGGGTGGGAAATATTGACCTATGTCTATATAGGATATTTGAGGGCATCATTTTGACATGAATTTTGACCAAAAATACTGTTGCCAGATTTGGATGCAGAATTGATCTAGAGGCCAAACCATGAACAAACAGCCAAACCTTTTGAAAATCGGTTGAGTTTTGACCGAGTTATGGGGGTGGGAAGTTTTGACCTATGTCTATATAGGATATTTGAGAGTATAATTTTGACATGAATTTTGACCAAAACTAATGTTTTCAGATTTGGATGCAGAATTGATCTAGAGGCCAAACCATGAACAAAAAGCCAAACCTTTTGAAAATCGGTTGAGTTTTGACCGAGTTATGGGGGTGGGAAATATTGACCTATGTCTATATAGGATATTTGAGGGCATCATTTTGACATGAATTTTGACCAAAAATACTGTTGCCAGATTTGGATGCAGAATTGATCTAGAGGCCAAACCATGAACAAACAGCCAAACCTTTTGAAAATCGGTTGAGTTTTGACCGAGTTATGGGGGTGGGAAGTTTTGACCTATGTCTATATAGGATATTTGAGGGTATAATTTTGACATGAATTTTGACCAAAACTAATGTTGGCAGATTTGGATGCAGAATTGATCAAGAGGCCAAACCATGAACAAAAAGCCAAACCTTTTGAAAATCGGTTGAGTTTTGACCGAATTATGGGGGTGGGAAATATTGACCTATGTCTATATCCTATATAGGATATTTGAGGGCATCATTTTGACATGAATTTTGACTAAAAATAATGTTGCCAGATTTAGATGCCAGATTGATCTGGAGGTCAAACCATGCATAAAAGGACAAACCATATGAAAATCGGTTGGGTTTTGACCGAGTTATGGGGTGGGAAATTTTGACCCATGTCCATATAGGATAATAGCGGATATACTACTGTATAGCCGTTTTCCGCCAATATAGAGATAGAGATTTAAAATTCCATTTCAATACCTAAATTTTTGTTAATATTCTTCTTCAACTCGTGTCAACTTCCAGTGCCGCGGATTACTTGTCCACATTGGAGGCCCTGCCCGCCCATGTGAAACGGGATAGCAGCGTGCCGAAGCTGTTGCATCTGGTGATGAAGGGCGGCGGTTCTCAGGGTCTGGACCGTACGCTGGGCAATCTGTTGCGTGTGATACCAAAGGCGCAGACCTACGACTTTCAGGCGTTCCTCAGCATGGATGGGCTCGGTGTGCTGGCCAATCATGTGATCAGCAAGGGCTTGGAGGACAATGCTGAGATCTCAAAGAAGTAAGCTGAACGAGAATATTAATGAAATCAATAAAACCAAATCGATTTACTTCGATTTCAGATCCGTCACACTGGCCGTGCAGCTGTATCGGAATGCGTGCTCCGTTTGTCCACAGATTGCGCGCCATGCGCTTCTGGGCAACTCCATTGCGACGCTCTTCGATGCCATCAGCAAGAGTTTCCAGGTGAGCCAAAGCCTCTGGTGGCCCAATAAAAGTGTCGCCGCGCTGTCGCCATGAAATGCATCCAGAATCGTAATTCCCCCAAGTGCGTCGCACGCTTTAAACTTGGCTCGTGTTCTTATCCTTGCCCTCTTCCCCACTCCTTGTCCCTCGTCCCGCCCCCCCGAGTTGCCTGGCATATAGCCACTTAACACTTGGCCGCGCTGATTTGGTCTCTCTTATACGCTTTATCCATAAAATATATTTATGCTGTAGGGCATTTGCGTTCTGGGCTGAGCTTTGTGACAATTGCAAGAACTTTTCAATACCTAACTTTTTGAACTCTTAAAATTATAGAAAAATTAGGGGAATTAGTTAAATAGCTTTTGTTTTCATGTTTATAATATATTTTTGCATGTATTTGTTTATTAAAATAAATATATGTATATATAAATATATGTATATATTTTTATATACAAATTAAAGTCAAAAACTCAGCTTAAATTAAATTTAAATTAATTTGAACTTGCTTTACTTTCGCGCCCTTTTCGACATTTTAAAAACTTGATCGTTTTTTTTTTTAACATAAAAATATTGTAACTTAAAGTAAGAATTACAAATTTTCAACATATCATTTTAATTTTGTATGATTGTAATTCAGGCAATTTCCAAATTTCCAGCGTTCAAATAACTTTGTGAATTAGTTTTTTAGTACATACTTATATTTTTTATTAATGTAGCGCATACGCAAGTCGACTTGCTTTGGCCTCAAATCGCACACACACACACACACACGAGAACTTTGCCAAGTTTAAAGTTTATTGTTTTCTTATTTTGTTCGCTTGTTTATTTGCCATTTCTTTTGACGCTTTTATTTGGCGCGTTCCTTTTGCTTTTTGCCTTTTGTTTTTGTTTTTGTTGCCCTGTGTGGCATTTTTATTTGTATTTTATTTACTGGCCGCGGCGTCGCGCTGTGGCCTATAAATTCGTAACGCACTAGCCGCAAAACCCCCGCAGCCCGCAACCCCTAGCCCTCACTGACCCCCCCCTGCCCAGCCTGGGCCGACAATTTGTCAGCATTTGGCTGTCAAGTTTTGCGTGCGTCTTTTTTGTTATTGTTTATATATATGCATAAATGTTTATATATATATATATGTACGTATATTTGCGGGCCGCTGTTAAATCAATCGTTAAAGCGCGTAAAAAGCCATTTTATATTTATGCATTGTTGTTGTTCGTTTGCTGTGCTTTTATATTTTGTATTTCATAAAAAATATTTTACTGCCTTGCTGTTGTTGTTGTTGTTGTTGCTTTGGCTCGTGTTTATTGTTGTGCTTGTCCCCCTGCCCCCGCATTAGACCCCGCCCCACCTCTGGTTATTGCTGATGGATCAGCGCGCACGCCGCTTGTCATGTAATCAAGAAGAAGCAGAAACAGAGAAAGAGATAAAGAGCGTCGCGTTAAAAAACATCAATTAACATTTTGATTGATGTGAGTGGCCGTTACGGTTGTTGTTGTTGTTCTTCTTCTTCTTCTTGCTGCTGTTGTTGTTGTTGCTGTAGCTGTTAACTTTTATAATTAATTTGAACACACACGAACAATGTCGTCTAACGCCGCAAAGCATGCAACAATTGTGCGACAACAACAACACAGCCACAACAACAACTACGCCAACAAGTCCATTGACACTTTTTGACTTTCTGTTAGATTTCTATTTTTGATTTTTTTTGTTTTTCAACTGATTCTTTCGCCATTTGCAGTTACCCGAAGAAAAATCACCACAACATCCGGTCGAGTTATCCACGGAGCTAATGCTGGCATGCACCGAGGCGCTATCATCCAGCTATGTGAAGAAAAACACCCACCCTAAAGTACCGGAACGCCTACCGGACATGATAAAGTGAGTACAAAAGAAGAAAACGACAAAGAAAAACAAAAGACACAACTGCACAAAGTTAACAGTACAACGTGCACAGAAACCCTCACACACACACACAGATGCGCGCGCTCGCAAGTAGGGGAAATGGCGCAAGTTCGAAAGAATTCAATGTTCGAAAATGCGTGAGTGGCGGCTAGGCAGTGCGTGCGTGTGCGAGCGGGAGCGCTTGTGTGTGTGCAGGGGCGTGTCAATGCTGTGCGAGCAAGATGGCTAGTGTGCTGCGCCTGTATATGTATGTATGTATATGGCCTGCATATGCAGTGGCTCGCAAACTGTGCAGGCTGTGTTTACCATTTGCCAGTGCTTGTCCAACTGCGCTTTATGAGCAAGTGCAGCCATTGTTATTTCTGTTATTGTTGTTGTTGCGGGCGCTTTCAACACTCGCCGCTAACTTTCTGCCTGCACGTTTTTATGACTGCTTCGCTTTTACAGTTGCTGCTGCTGCAGCATTGTTGTTGCTGCTGCTTGAATTTCTTTTTTTTTGGCAAAACTTTAATGTAGCCCGCGCGCAGTCGGCGTCGCTGCTTGTTTTTCTTTAATTTGCGCTTATTTTGCGTGCGTGTGTGTGTGTGTATTTTTGGGCAGTGCAAAAGTTTTAATCGAATTTCTGCTGTTGTTACCCACACACACAAACACATAGACGCCATTTTGTTTATTTTTGCAGAAATTGAATTTCATATACATTTGCTTATTGTGTTTTGTTTTTGTTCTTTATTTTGCGCTGTGCTCACTTTTTTGATTGTAAAAAAAAACTTTTGTTGTGCATTTTTGTGACTTTTGTTGTTTTTATATTTTAGTCATTTTTGTTCGCTTGGCTTTTGTTTCGCCAGTAAAAACATTTTGTTTATCCTTTGTGTGCACTGCCCCCCGCTCCCCCCTCACCTAGCTGCCTAGCCCATTGAATTTTTCTCTAGTTTTTTTTTATTTTTGTTGATCAATTTTCGTTTGTTTATGTTTTCAATTTGCTTACAAAAGCTTTTCGTTTATTTTATTAGTAGCCCGCCGCCATTGTTCCCTGCCTCGCTCGCTCTCTCGCTCTCTCGCTCTCTCTCTCTCCCCCACACCAATTTTTTTTCGCAGCCTTTTGTGGTTGTTTGCTTTTCTTTTTATATACCCAGTTTTTATTTTATTTTTTAGCAGCGCGCTTTTCGGCGCTCAATTCAATTACAAAGCGTTGCCGTCTTGTTTTCTATAGCTGCGTCTAACGTTTTGCTGCAAAATCACATTTGCCTTGACTATCATTTCCTTCGCCCCGGCGCCCGCTACACAATACGCTGCGCCATTTTGCCAAAACTTGAATAAAGCGCCAAAGCGAAGAGTGGGATAAAAAAAAAAAAAAACAAAAATAGATATAAAGAAACTGAAATTCAATTCGCCGCACTTGAATGGAATGACAACCTCCGGTCGAAGCAGCAAGCATTTGGCTGTTGCTTCCCCTCTAGCCCCCGCCCCCCGATCCCCGCCTTCCACTACTTCTACTCTCTACTTCTGCCTCTCGTTCTGCTGCTTTCTAATTCAATTGTAGCTTTCGGGTCGGGCAACTGCTGTAGTCAATCTTTTGGCTGTGCTCTACGTGCAGCTTTTTGTAGCTGCATAATTTAATTTTTGTTTACTTTTAATTGGTCGAGCGGCACATAAAAGTGGAGAGCGGAAGCGGGAGCGCGTTGAGTGGTGGGGGGGCACTAGAGCGAAGGGGGCAACACTTTTTCATTCCGATTTGTAACACAAATTTGATTTTAATTAAGAAACTTTCAATTTTGTTCTTGCTTTCTTCTCTCAGTTTGCTTTGAGTTCCAGCATTTCAATGAATTATGCAGTAAATTCATGTTTTTCCTTTTCGATTCTATTTCGAATTTAGCATGTCATAAGCCAAAGCTCCTCTATTGCTAGGCATGTGTCTATAGTTATGTCTATATGTATTACATATGTTTGCTTTGGTGTGTCTGCATATAGAGCACGCCCACTGACCCAGTCGCCTTTTTTGGTTAGCTTTGTCATCATTATTATCGTCATTATCATTATGATTATCCACAAAGTTGTGGCTTGCCGTAGCCGCATAGAACTCGGTTGTTTAACAAAGTTTCCGCTTGAGCGAAGTTTTGATTTTCTCTGCAAGAGTTTCGTGCTTTTCAAACATACTTGCAATTCAGCTTTTAAATCAGATAAAGTGAAGTACATTTACAATAACATTATCTGTATATTCTTTGGAATTTTCATGAAGGGTTTTTTAAGCGGAGTAATCACAATAGTAACTTTATATATACATATATATATATGTATGTATATGATAAATCATAAAACTATATAAATTTATTAAGCTTAATCTTTATTAATTTTTAAACAATAATCGCATAACATATACATAATTTCATTAATCTGACTTTCTCATGAATGCCGCAAATTCTTGTTAAAGTGGGCCGCAGCCAACTTAACAAGCATACTAAACTCTCTTTTAGTGCTGCCAGATTGTTTCAAAAACAATAGGCGAAATATTGCTGCTATTTCACCATTTCACATTCAAGACTTCGATAAAGAATACTTGATAAAGTTCCAAAAATGATATTAATTGTAAAATAAAAATCCAGCAATTAGGATGAATCAGTAAGAAACGATGCCGTAACTAAATACGAGTCGAATGAATATAAGAACTTACAAAAAGAGCATTCGGGAATGAACACAGTACAGTACACGTCCGAAAATTTGTCCTTTGACAAAACAGAACTGTTCACAGATTAATTCTATAATAATTTAAATATAATTTAAATACCTTATAGATAAAATGCCTTTATAACTACTTTGATTTTGGTCTGGGAAAATAATTGAATCTCTCATATATTTTTTTTTGCTGAAAAAAAAGACTTCTTCTTCTGCTGAAAGCGAAACCTGCACTTTAAAATTTAGAAATAATTGAATCAAAGCTCCTTTAAATGTGCTTCAATTATTTGAGGCTCGCCTGAATGAACCCAAAAATTCCAAGTTTCCCAACCCCTAAACTTTCCAGCTCCCACACGACCTTTTACTGGAACCATAACAAATTTAAATTCTATGCAAATAGCATAATTGTGTGTGTGTGTGTGTGTTTGTGTGGCGTGTGCGCTTCTCTTTTTACAATGTAATTGATTCATAATTAATCAACGCAATCATTAGACAGATCATATACAGAAGCCTCAACCCTCGCGCTAATAAAAAAAAACGATAGCAAATACATATTTAATCATCATTTGATCATCAATTTTCAAGGTGTTGTCTGGCTAAACAAATGATAAAAAAAAAATTATGACAAGTAGGTCGGTGTAGGGCTTCGGGCAGGGGTAGGTGTCAGACGGGCGGGGTAGGCAGGTAACGGCAATCGTAACGATGATTTGACACGCGATAAGGCGCACACGGAAGCTTCCTTCATGGCATCCGCATCCGCATCCTCAACCTCATCCACGTCCACATTCGCAGCATCGCCGCGCAGAGCAACCCCCCGCGTGCTGCACAATTGAACCCCTGCTCCGCCACGCCCAGCTCCCTGCTGTCATAATGAAATATGCATACGACAAGAAGAAGCGGTAACCAGTCGGGTTAGAGGTGGAGGGAAAGAGAGCTCTGATTCAGCCAGGCAGGATTCTCTGGGTGCGCCGCGTGTCCTTTTGTTTGGATGTCAACAAGGACAAGGCTGCTGCTGTTGCTCCTGCTGCACGATTAATTTAATTACCCTTTAAAGTAACCATATCGAATGGCCATTTGGAGTTATGCCTCGTCCTGGCTCTTGTCCTGTGTGACTCTCTCTCGGCATGCACTTTGCAGCACGGCCTTCTGTTGTCCTGCGACACTTGCCCTTAGTTTTTGCCTCAATTACTGAACCCAGCTGCCTTTCAACCAAACACACACACCCACACACACACACGTGCTGTGGGTTTTATTTTACCAACGTCATGGACATATTAGTGCAACTATTTAGTTGCCACCACAGTCGCTGCGGCCCCTGCCACCAATGCTGCTCCAGTTAACACTATTACACTGCGCAAAAAGCTGCTGAGAATTTGAATGATTTTCAAGGCCTAGAACCAGTTCATGTTGTTGATTTGAATACTTCACACGTTTTTGTAGGCTTTTGTTCGTTTCTTAATGGAAGTCCTTAATATTCCTATGGAAGGTATTATACGGTTAATAGCTTTTATACAAACAAAAAGAAAGTTTCTTGCGTGATTTCTAGAAAAAATCCACATTTTTAACTAAAATATGGTCCCCCAGTTAGTGATAAAGCTTTAATGTCAAAACGTAAGATTGATTCGGCTCCAAATAGACTGAAACGTTTTTCAAAACTATCCCAACCCCTTATCTTTACATTTATTACTTAATTTATTGTAATTTCTTGTTACTTGACTCTTTCGCTCAGTGTAGCGCGCCATGGCTGCAGCGTCTCCTTCTGGCGTATTCATTTCAAGCGTTCGCCTTTGTTCGTTCTTGTTGTTATTTGTTGTTGTTGTTTGTTGTGCATTTAATATCCGATTTCAGTTTTTTGTTGATTCTTTTTGACAATGGGCGCAGGCATTGAACACTTCTACGTTGCCCCGGCTCCAGACTTTAGCCCCCAACCCCTCTCCGCCTCCTCCAACTCGTACGCTATTGTCCTTGTTGGCGGCAATGTGAAAGTTTTCTATTTGCTTAGTGCGCTGCGCTCCTTTTTCACGTCCTTTTGTTTTCCCTGCTGTCGCTCTGCTGCTGTTCCTCAAAATCAAAATATTGACTCTTTAACGGCGTCTTTATTGATCCATTGGCGGCGAACCCTGAGCTGCTCGCATAGCAGTCAGCTTTTGTGCAGGCCAAGCCCTGAGCAGTTCGCATAGCAGTCAACTTTTGTCAGCTGCAATTCCGTGTATTTTCCTCGGAGTCTATTCATAATGAAGTTTCAGTGTTTAACTGCAATTCCCTGCGAGTTGCGCCAGTCCCAATCTGCATGTCATAATTGAATT